TAAACAAGAGAAATGGTTTAATGGCTCCATAAAAGGCACTCTGTGCTGATAGCTGAGATTAGACCCTTTAGTAATGGATTTTTGTGTGTTGGGGGAAGGGGAGGGCTTGGCAGAGGTAAATGTACTGGAAAAGAATCTTGGAGAGACTCTGATGTATCTGAAGTGCCTGCTGCATTTCTGTGTGTATTGGGAGATAGATTTAAAGTGTGACAGTATTGGCTTTATCAGCACAGGGGCCTTCTCTTCTTGCTTTTGAAATTTTACCAAGTACTAACTTGGGCCACCTCAATCAGTCCAGCACCTGGAGTTGTAGTGGTATTAACGTAAATATTTTTACATCTTCTACCTTTTCATCTTGCTGTTAAGAAAATCAAGTCCCTTCTGTTCAAATGTGTTCAAGAAATCTCTCTAAACTTACATTGCATATTAACAGTTTTGCCTCAATCAATCATAAAAATGAATGAGTTTGTTTACTAAATCGGGTTTAGAGGGTGATTTGAGAGCATAAATGTGAAAAGCAGTTCAGAAAGATGCAGCACAAATGTTTAGGGCATGACTTACTTCCTTTTCTCTGCAGGTACACAAAGTCCTCAAACTTAATACACATGAATGTAGGATTACTTAGGAGACATTGGAGTTCACTAGCACAAGGAAGGTTGCTGCTCTCAGTTGATTTTGTACCATATGCTCTTGCCCTACAAGTGTTGATAGTAAGATATCTTTGTCTCTTTGGTCAGTGGAGTCAGGATTGCCTGCTGTTAGCCAACATCATTAAATTACCAATAATATTTCAAGCCTTTTAAAAATATGTTTAAATCAATTCTTCTTCAGAAAATAAAATCAGATTTTATTTTGTGTTCTGGGCAGGAATCTGGGGTTTGAAAATTATAAAATAACTTCTTGCTCAAAGGCAAAATGACTTGCAATTTCACATAAAATATTCCTCATTTCTTCTTCATCTTGAATAATCATCTCTTTAATTAAAAAATATTTTAAACCATTGCATTTATATTTGGTGCAGTGCATTTCTGGGGCTTTCTCAAAAGAAGTGATTCAGTTCTATCTGTGCAGAGGTGGTACATTTCCCGTTTCTCAGGCTAGAAAGTATACAAATCAGTCTCCTTTAAGACAAACTGATTCCTCCTTTAATTTCAGAGTTCTTAATAAAATTGTTCTTCATTTGGGTCTTAAACTGGGTGTTATTATGAACAAAATGTTTGGGGATTAGGCTGTTGACAGATAGCAAAGGAGAACAGCACTTCAAAACAAGGGGTACCAGGTTTCACCCTGTGTTCTTGCATGTTCTGTGCAAGTTTACTTCGTGGTGAAATTATTATTGTTTTGCATAAAATCTAGGTCTGTACAACAGCACATTCTGTATAACATGCAAGCCCTCTTACTCTGCAGATATAGATAGATACATTTATGCACAGAGAATATGCATACAGTAATGTATTATACTTGAATCAATTTGCTACAGATGGTAGTAGTCCTTTTGCTTGCCTTATATCTGCACATTGGCTTCGGAGGAGCTCCAGACAGGGTCTGCAGATTGAGTCCGTTCTGATACCCATAAGCCTGACTTTCCCCAGTAGTTGAGATGAGGTGTTGAAGCCATCCATCTAAATACACGTTGTAAGATTGTTTGCCTTTCAAGTTTGGAGGTAGTTATCCATAAGTAATCACTCGGGATGAAATCTTGGCCCTTGGTCACTTCTTAATAAGATCGTTATTAAGGCAGAGTGCCTGTTACTTTAATAGGGTTGAGACTCTGTTCCGGGGTTAAGTAAAATGAATTTGCCATCAGGAAGAAAGAAGTGGTGAGGAGCTGGTTGTTTGAAATGTCGTTCTGTTAATTTGGATGTGTTGGTAGCTTGGTATGCTGCACTAAAATTAGATTGTATAAATAAGCAACCTTGCTATCCTCAAAAGAAAACGGATTGAAAACATAATATAAAATCCAGCTTAGCAAAACAGTGTGTGTTTAAAATCTGTTTTAATAGGTGCACTATAAAATGAGTGTCACACTAAAATGAAGAGTGATGGGTGGAGGGTTTCAGTGATGACACGAGAACTGTTCTGAATGTTTGAAATTTTACTTTTGGAATAAGTCTGTCATCTTCAGCCACACTTAAGATGTGGTTTGAAAGGTCAAGTAGCCTTCAAGAAAGCCCCCCCAAAAATGCAGTGAGTGTTTTTCTCAGGCTTTTTCCTTTCTGCCTCCTAAAAGTGTACACTTGAGGAGTTACAGATAAAGCTTAGCATGGTGACTGTGTTGGGGGACTGCCCGAGGAAGGCTTTAAATTTTACAGCTACATTGTCTTTCTGGCCGTAGTTAAGATAAAGATCTAATATAAAATCACTTTGGACTGTAATGCTTTCCCTAAATGAAATGGAGGCGTTAACCTACTTGATTTGATACACTTTACCCTAGCTTATAAAGCTGGGAGGAAGGTGAGGTAAACTTTAATTAAAACTACAGCACAGATGCCTTCTAGCACTGTGCCCTGTACCTTGCTAGGACTGTACACTAAGCAAAATAAAATGTACCTCGCAGCCGAGGCAGCAGGCTGGAGCCGTGTTCAGTGAAAGTAATTTAATTAGTGTTGATCATGACTCCAGATGATGGTGATTTGATAAGGAATAATTTAGTACTTAACAGCCTTTTACATGCACCAACTCCATGTGGGAAGGTAAAGCAAATTGCACAAAATGAATGTGCTGCTTTCACTTGTGCCTGTGCCAGTGAGCTGGAAAACTGCCTGTTAGCAGACGTTCAGGCTCTCAGCGCTGTGATGAAATACCCAGCCAGTTCTCCGCACAGGGCTGTGGTGTGGGAGTCTCTGTACTCCCGTTATTTAAAAATAAATAAGGGAAGTAATTTTTCATAACAGATTAACTCCGAGGAAGTAGCAAAGTTAAAATAAAAAAAAAAAAAAATAGAGCAGCATGTGGTCTTTGTGCGAATATGTGGTACTGGCTTTAAAAAAGAGTCTTGCTGCAATTGTGTTTTAATTCTCTGATTCAAGTCAAAGAGATTGCCTGCCTTTGTGTCGGAGCCACCGTCCTGGAGTTGTGGGGCCCATCATACACATTATATGTGCGGTGTCATTATGTGACCAAGACATGCAAGGAGAGTCAGCAGTAAAAGTTCGCTAACAAAAACCTGAAACAAACTACTGGATGTCAGCCTGCTTTGCGATTATGGTGGAAAGCTGACGGGGCTGCATTTTGCTGTATTATTAAATTTGAGACTCTTTATTCAAGAAGTCCATATGGTCTTTTATTTTAGTGCAAGTTCAGACAGTTTTATTCAGAAAGAGTTCTTGTTTCTTTTCATCTGTTTCTTAAATTACTGTGCTGTGCATATGTATTTGTGTACCTGTTTTACTCTCTGCTTTTCTTTTGTAATCTTTCCAGATAATTGACTATTATCCACTAAATATAATAGCTGGATAGCAGTTTTAGAAATTCTTGTGAGTTTTGTGAAAATATGTGGCAAAATAACATAGTGCTATCTTGCAGATGTCTCAGCTGAAAGGCAGTAGTAGAAGCTGTCATGTAATAGGGTACGAGAGGACCTATTTGTGAAAGAGTTGTCTGAACGTTGCCCAACCGTGGGAAAACCCATGGTGAAAATCTGGAATCCAGATCTTACAGATACTTATAAATCAGTTTATTGGTTCTGATGCTAAGTTCTTAGACAGCATTTCTTTTACCTTCCCACGGAACACGTGAACACAGGAGCATTAGTATCAGAAAATATATAGTCTGTAACAAATTGTCTTTTCTAAGTTCAGGTGCAAGGGAGGGGGCAAGATACTACTTGGTGGTATATAATAATGGCCTGATTTTGTGCTGAGGTTCTCTAACAGGGACTGCTGCACATACGTGGATTTCCACGGAGGCGCAAGTGTCAGGCTGGAGCGTGATGTTCAAACTACGGTGTTTTGGTGACAACAGAAAAAATCGGTGATAAAATTGATCTCTGAACTCTAGGCTTCTCAGAGGCCAAAAATGTATTTACAACCTCATTTTATTTAAAACTTGCAGGGTGTGTTTTCAAGCTGTTAAATACCTGTCTTTTAGTCCTTTGTCCTCCTAACCACTTACTTTAGATTTGTCTATGTCAGATGAACTTTGAATTTTCTTCTGCTTTAATTTTGCTTAAGGTTGGATAGGAAATGAGGAAAGTTGGCTGGCTTAAACTAATATGCTGGTTAACCTTGTCTTTTCCTTTTTCTTAATCCAGACCAATTTGTGCTTCTAATGAATGCTGGATTTCTGTCACACTTCCACTGTTCTTTTTACCTTTAAAAAAAGTGAGATTAATATTTTTTTTTGCCTCGGTTTGTGTCTATATCACATTTACTATTGACTTTGGTGAGGCCAGGATTTTATCTTGTGTATTTTTGAGAAAAAACTACTGAAGCCATTTCTTGTGTATTTTTTTCAGATGCTACTTATAACTAAAGGCGCATGTAATCATCCAGTTTCATAAGTTTCACTGCAAATTTTCATGCATTCTGTGGGACAAAAAGATTACTGATCATATAATTGAGGCTGATAGATGAGAAATTTATTTTGGAGTCATTTGTGTGGCACTCTTTGAAGTGAACTACTGTTGCATTTATAGCTAAAAGCTACCTCACTCATATTACTTAGAAACATTTGGTGCCTGGGAAGTATTTTGCCTCTGACAACATTTACAGTAGTTAAGCCAAATATAAGTGGGCTGTTATTTTCCTGCTAATGAGATGGGATCCTGGCCATCATTCTATTAAACAATAAAAGTGCTAATAGCCAATGCGAAGGATCTCTGGTGTCTATTTTTCAGTTGACACCCGAAGAAATATTTGAAATGTTTATTTCCTATATTGTTTTTAGTATTACAATGGTTTAATTAATCATGTGTTTAATTAGCAGTGTCTAGCTTACTTGAGAAAGCTCATTGTTAATATTGTACTTGGCTTTTAATTACATTTTCTTTCTCTTTCCAGTGGCTTTTCATGGTCTCCCTGTGAAAATCAAGAAGGAACCCCATAGCCCATGTTCGGAACTTGGCTCCACTTGCAGTCAAGAGCAACCATTCAAGTTCAGTTATGGGGAAAAGTGCCTGTACAATGTCAGGTAAAGCAATATCAGGAGCATGTTTGCAGTGAGAACTGCTGATTTAAATGAGGACTGACTAAAGAGTAATAAAACCATAATAGAGATCTTATAAAAGTTACCTCTTCAGCAGATAACAGACTGATGAGATAATGCATTTAGCTGATGAACACTGATGGAGTTGTTTACAGTTGTATCAAACACTTATATAACTGTTTTAAAGCAGTCTTTTTCATCAAAATGCATATTCTCCATTCCTTCTCCATGGGAGACAGCCAGAATTTAAAAACGCAGGGTGCAAGTGTGAAATAGAAGGAAGGAGTGTCTTGTTTTCTGCGAGTTGTGTTGAAAGTACTTTCAAAATGCATTACACACATTAGGAAAGAGAGAGAGATCTGTGTAGCAGGCGAGAGATTGGCAGGTCTGAGCAACACATTAGGTATTTGACAAGTTTTGCAGATCTTATATGTGTGTATTCGTGGGTGATTACAATTTAAAATAGTATTTCATTAGGCTCTGCATCTTTGTTACCTATTCAAAAACAAGTTGTCTTCTTTTATAGGGATAGATAATAAAAGTTTTATTTATTTGTGGGTGGTGGAGGGGCTTGATACCACTGCATTCTTTATTGACTTTCTTTTGGTTTGCACTTACGTATCACTCCTTCCTTTAGTGTCAGCAGTGAAGGGTTTCTTATTGACATTTCAGTCTATTTTAGAATCTTTTGTCTAGCTTGTGAGTTTTTATTCTCATTAATGTACTGCCAAAACTGTTAGCACTTAAAGCATTTACATTTAACTTTTTGGATATGAAAGGGGAAAAAAAAAGACTGCCACCTTTACGAGTCATAGAGGAGTGATTTTGATTTCAAAAATCACATGCATACATTGATGGATTTGATGGGTGCTATGGGACCTGACAGGAAAGTATGTAAGTTCGTGCTTACTATCTGCCTAATGCCTGCATTTTTCCTGTTAAGAAAGAGGGGTGATCAAAGTGTGCTCAAGTCCTTTCCTGATTTGGGACACCTTTGAAAATAGCATCTATGTATTTGCAGGACCAGCGCTTTATTTTTAAGGGGGGGGGGGGGGGAACCCTGTTGGGAGAGGCTGCTGACATCCTAGTGTGGGTAGCTAAGCCAACATACCATTGTTTTTCTGGGTCAGATCCCTTCCCTCTAGCTGTATTGTTTTACTGTCTCACTGTGGTTTGTGCGAGCTCTAAAAAAGAGTCTTGACAGGCACTGTCGGCCCTTTGTGCTATAGTCCAGGTGCTTCTACTTTTATGTATTTTGTATAATTCCTGTTAGAATGTCACTGTAAGACTGAATCCTTTAAAAATACATTTCTGTGCCCTAGAGAAGAAAATGCTGTGTTGAACCACTTGCCTGTAACACGTTTTTTTCTTTACTCTTTGCAATGTAAAGTAGATAATTCCTCTGTCCCAAACTGGTTAATAAGTAACTATAACAAAAAGCTTATAAATGTGACACTTGGGGTTTTTTTACTGAATGTAGATGCTACTGTTTTTTTTTTTTCCCAGAGAAAATAACCTGACCTTCTTTTCCCTTGCCTTACTGATAGTGCCTATGATCAGAAGCCACAAGTGGGAATGAGGCCCTCCAACCCACCGACGCCATCCAGCACTCCTGTGTCACCGCTGCACCATGCTTCCCCAAACTCAGCTCAGACTCCTAAACCTGACCGGGTTTTCCCTACCCATCTCCCTCCATCCCAGTCCATTCAAGACAACAGCTTCCCTATGGACCACAGGTAAAACACAAAACACACTAGGGACCCATGCAGAAGGCATTTCAGTAGTGGTTGCAAGTTTTATATAGGGTAGAACTGGCTTCCTGCCCACAACTATTCCCTTTCAGGTTGGGGGACCAAGGTGAAAGCCAGCAATGTTCAGAGTGTCAGAAATATGTGCATTTTATGAAAGGCTGGCACCTAACTTGATGGACTTCAGTAGGAGTTCATACTGGCAGCGACAGAGTTTTAATGACCTGCTTCTACTGTCTTGTGAGGGTGATTACAGGGTGCTAGATAATCTCATCTAGGCTCCCTTTCCCACAAAAGGTTGGACCAGATGGTCTTTCAAGGTCCCTTCCAACCTGGGCTATTCTGTGATTCTGTGATTCACTTGAGGCTAGTAAGCCCTACGAGGTTATGAAGTCACTAGCAGGCATGATCCTGGCTGTAAATATCTGGCCTCTTGCTAAGCAATTCACCTAAGAGATAAGTGACCATGTTATGGTGTTACTGCTTCAGAATATTCTTTGGAAGGGTGGGTCATTTTTTCAACCCCTTTTGAAATATAGCATTTCAAACAAAGTAAGATGCCAACATAAACTGTGCTTAAATAACATTAGTCTGAGTAAAAGCCACAAGAGCTAGAGACTAGAATTAAAGCTTAAACTGTCCTTAAGTCACCCTGTTTTGTTTTGATATGTTAGAAATCCCCAGACAACCAACTATCTTTCTTAGCTCAGTTTTGCAACAGATATGCTCAGTGGATTTCCCTGATTTTTGAGACCAAACACTTGTTTGTGGAATTCTATTTATTCTAACCTTTTTTGCATGAATCTGGTTTTGCCTGCTGTATTGTGTGATTGCTCTGAGCATTTAAAATTTCAGGTGTATGTAAAGAGATATATATGTTCAGAAACTCGACTTAGCACTTAAACCTTAGCAAATTAAGAAAAGAAAATCACAGTTGTTGGGAGTGCGATTTGCATGCTTCTGCTCTAATAAGGGCTATTATCTCCAGGGATTTGTGCAGATCACTTCTGAAGGGGGTTGCTAAGGTTTATATTGCTGTTTTGTGCTTTGCTGAGATAGTTTTAAATATCACCCAAGGTTCTCTACAAGCCCTCCTGGTGATGAGGAAACACTGAATTGGTCCCTTCAGCTGCCATAGTCACTGTCTTTTCTGCCTCCGTGGACTGTGGTCTAACCACACAGGCCCCCAGTGAAGCCAAGCAGTGGTTTTGATTACAGGATGGTGGATAAATGTGTTTCTGTATATACACCAAAGTCAAGTTGTCAGGAGACTGAAATCTCCAGGAGCTAAATGGCTTCTGTGCAGAGAGCAGTAATTTAAGATGAAAAAATCTTTTGTTTTAAAGCAACTTGTAAAAAGAGTACTGAAGCTGTATGTCAGCCCTAATTTGAGTATTTATAAAGATTTGCATACACCTTAGCATATTTTTCTATACCCATAACACTTGCTCCGCACAAGCTTTGTAGGCTCTTTACATGATTCCCCTCCCCGCCCCGTCTTTGATATTCATGTTCTTTAGGGCATTTTGCACTAATGCTTCCCTTCCATGATAGAACATCATGTGTTCCAGTGAAGTCCAAAATAGCTGACTCAGGCCAAAAAAATCTCATTTTTCTCCTTTTTTAAAGAAAGGTGCAATTGTAGTGGAAGATATTTTTCCCTATTTTCTATTTATTTTTAATCTTCTCACTTCCAGTTGTTCGAAGCAAATGTGTTCTTCATATTTTTGTGAAATTCAAATCTTCACGATTTACAGGGTGATATGCTACTACAATGAGTGTATTCAGAAAATGTCATTTAAACAAATGACCTACCTACATGAGTTCATATATAAATCTATAAGTCAAGGCATATTTCTCTGGAACATGCATTGGTGGCATAAGATAGCGTTAGTATCTAGAACGTACAGCCCATACATCTTCATACAGGGCATGAATATATGAACGATTAAGTGGTCCTAACAAGTACCAACAGGAATCAAATCCACTTGTATAAACAAATGGCTTGATTCCATACAAAGCTTCCAGTACAACAAGTATTATTAACTTCCTTTGAGGCTTTGTGAGTGAGCCTGTTTCTTATTTTAACTTCAAGTTGCAATTTTCTGATTCACTCCTTGACAGTTCTTAATGATAATTTCTGCTTCTTTTTTTGGCTAATGAAAAAAGGAAAAGAGGGAAATGAATGCAGTGCCAGTCAGCCTAACTGTTTCATAATACATTTGAGTTTCTAAGTTTATTTTCTGCAGGTGTAGGTGGAATTGCAAAACCCAATGTTACAGTGCAGTACTCTTTCTACTGCAAAATATAATATTTACAGCATCATTAAAAAAATTAATTTTGTCTCCACTGCTACATTGTAATAGTTTCTATCTCTGTAGCCCTCACAGTATTTGTAATTAAGCTATGACAGTAAATATTTGTCAGACCAAGTTCACAGCAGTATTATGACAGATGTTAGTGGAGTTTAAATTGTTTCAGAAACACATACTATATATGAGTTGATAGTGAAGGATTGTATTGCCTGTGCAATCAAACCCCTGCATTCTTCTTCACTCACCCAGTTTTCTCCAAGAGAATATCTGCTTTTGCTTGCGTGAACTGATGTCAGTTCAGATCCAAAGTACAGGAAGCTGAAGAATGATTAGTCCTTGATTTTTTTTTTTTTTTTTTTTACTGTGACAGTGAGAAACTTGCAGAGAAGGGTACAGGTTGTCTGTTTTGTCTTGCTCATGATGAGTGATAACAGGACTAGTAAGCAGTTTGTTGCAAGAACATTGCATCTGCTGTGAATTAGAGCAGACACAATATTACTACAGCGGTGGTTACCACTACTGTGGTAATCTGCAGGAGATGACAGGAAGACTTTGTGCAGTTCATTGGGGCATGGGGTGGGAAAATAGCATCCTTGTATTCTTCTCTATGCTTCTGAACCTGCAGATGTCCAAGTAATTACATTCAGGCCTTTTAGTTTAACTAGGTGTGTTTTATGGAAGAAACAACAAGCGTAGGTTCTCGAGTAGTGTTGCATGTAAATGAAGTTAATTTAAAACTGAATTCTCAGATTTTATGCATTTGGGAGTAGTGAATGGCAGCGTGGCTTGTATGGATGACTTCTTTCATGTAGAAATGACCAAGGGAACGAGTTAAGGCAGGAGGGGAATTCTTAGGCATTGTTTCTCTTAGCAAAAATTTCCACCCTCTCCTTTTTCTGAGGTGCTTACATTCCCTTCCCATTAGAGCTGGAATGCAGAGGCAGCCTTGCAGGTAGATCTCCCACGGCAGTATCCCTGAGAGGACAGAACAGTGGACTTTTACCCTGGAATGATTCCAGATATTATGGCAGACAATACTCTTTATTCAAAATGTTTGTATTTGTTGTGGTCAGAATGGTTTCTGTGTAACAATAAGAATGGTAAGAGTAAATTAGAGTACAAGCAATATGTTGCTAATACTCGTGAAAGAACAGAGAGCTCTACCTAAGCCTCCTTCATGTTACTGTGGTAGGATGTCAGGTTTGAAGCTGGTGCGTTTCCCATTTGCCTCTTCTCTTCAGAGAAGATACTGAAAGCAGAGAGGATGGTGGTGGGGACAGGTCTCAGAGCTGGTATTAATAGGTGGGGGTTTTTTGTTTCTTTGCTTGTTACTGTTCTACAACTCAAGGGATCCTGGTGGGAGCACTTGGCATTATCATAAGCAAAATGTTTGCTGCTGAGAAAGTGATACAGCCACTAACCATGACCTGTGAAGATCTTTGGGAAATGGAATGTAGCTGAAGTCCTTTACATGACCTCTCTACCTTGTGTCCTAGATTTCGCCGCCAGCTCTCTGAACCTTGCAATTCTTTCCCACCTTTGCCTGCAATGCCAAGGGAAGGACGTCCAATATATCAGCGCCAGATGTCTGAGCCAAACATCCCTTTCCCGCCTCAAGGTTTTAAGCAGGAGTACCATGATCCGGTGTATGAACACAATGCTATGGTTGGCAGTGCAGCCAGTCAAAATTTCCCACCTCCTCTGATGATTAAACAGGAACCTAGGGATTTTGCATATGATTCAGGTAGGTGAGACTCTCCTTTACTTCTGCATGGTAAATAAATGAGTCCAAGCAAGTGTTATTGATGTTTTGATCATATGAATTGAAACTTGCTCTTTTGGCTTCTAAGTCTCCTGAAGTAATTTATGTCTGATATAGCTTATGAAGTAGTAAGATTGCTACATAGTACAGTGTATCTCGTGCCACCGTTGCCACTGCTTGCTCTGCAAGGGATTTCGTTTTCCAGACAGTGCACAGGTTAAAGAAGCTGGGGAAGAAAAAATCATGGGTGCAAAATTGAGCTTTGCTTAAGAGGGGTCTTGTTCTGTACTATCTCATATCCGACCTCTGAATTTGTGTGTTCCATTTTACGAGCTCTTTCATTTATCTGCCAGAAATAGAGGACTCTCTCTCCTCTTGCTTGCACTACTTTAAATCAGGAGTAACTCCACTGAAGTGGGGTTTATACAGCTATAAAACCAGTGAGGGAGAAGAATCAGCCAAATTGGTGTCAGCTTCTCAGTTTGTGCATACTGCTGTGTTTTGTGGAGGTACATAATCTGTGATGCCAGGTTGCTGATGTAGAGAATACGCTGTTGCTATTAATAATGTTTATTATGATTGTGCTTATAGGGCAGCTTATAGGGAATGGAGCCTTATTGCTCTACGGACAGTACAAAACAGAGGAGGTGGTGCCAGAGCCTGCTCTCAATAGCTTCTGGTCACAATAGAAAGTTAAGTGGTAGAAAGGATAAAAACATAAATCAAGGGAATAACATTGTAAATGTTTGCCACAATTTAAATGTAATATTTATATTATACTTGGAAAAGAGAGAGAGAATTAGGGAAGCAAAACAGGAATTTAGTGATAAGTACCAAGTAACCAGGAGAAGGAAGCTGGAAGTGTGGTATGGAGAGAAGCTGAGGTTAAAACAGCATGTAGTGGGCCAGGTGGGGTAAACAGCTGATCAGTACCGAGCTGAGAAAATGCAATCAAGACACGTTTTTCAGTTCTGGTGTGAGTGATTTCTGCAGCTCCTCTTCAGTCTCTGCCTCTGTCCTGCTTTGTGTATGCCATGGTGTTGAATGGAAGGGATTTCAGTGAGTCCTTGTCATGCTTCTGGAGGAGGGTGCATCGCTTTCATACACATGCACCCTGAGTTGGGCAGGGGGAGTGGGTGGCCCTGTCTGACTTCAGTCTGACTCTCTCTTCTGGGTGCTGCAGTACTTGCAGTGCTTTCCTACTTAGCAGTGGTTTTCCTACTAAACTCAGTGGTTTAGCCTCTGAGTAGATGCTTTTGCAGTTTATTTCCCGAAGGCTACATGGCAGCTGAGGTGAGGTCTCCTTTGAAAGTTTAGTCCATGACAAGCTATCTTCCAGTTTTATACGATGGATAATTTGTTTTTATTGTCTTTTTTGTAGCTAACTTAACATTGTCTATTTAGTGGGCTATTTTGTGGTATCATTGTTGTAAAGTGCTTGGTTTTGAATTTATCTCTGTGTTAGAACAGGGGAATTTGGAAAGTAGAGCTGCTTTCTCCTTTCTTACTCTTGACAAATAAAGAACCAATCCTTAGGTAAATTTGAGTTAGGCCTATACAGGGAGGGGACCAAGGACGAAATATTTCTCCAAGTTGAAATATATGACAAGATGAAAATAAGTTCAGATTACAAGGATCAGATGTAGACTAAACCCGTTCATTGATGAAGGTTCTGAGATATGTGGCTTTGGCAGTCATGTATCTTTAGTCTTACGGAGCAGCATGGGAGAGACTGTCTGCATATTCAATGTGGCAATGGATAATAAATAGGGGACTGCAGCTTCAGGCACTGCCAGTCCCTTGCAACCTTCACAAGCACTGTTATTCATCCTGCTAAATTAAAGGGTGAAAAAAGGCCCTTTTGTAAGCATGCTTCATATTTGGCTAGGAAGTGGGATCTCCTTATTGCATACTATTACTTTAAATCTGAGTTGGCTGCTAGCATTCATCTTTCTTTGGAATATTCTTTATGGGGAAAAAAAAAAAGGAAATTTTATTCTGAAAGGAAGATGTGCAAACTTGTATCCAATCTTGTCATGCCTTTTTTTTGTGCCAGCAAGAACAACATTCCACTTCATAGTAATGACGTTCAAGCAAAATTGTTGTTTCTTTTGTAGATGAATAATTAGTTTTTAAAAATGTAATAGCTGTGTAACTAGTGGTCATGAAAAATTAATCTGTTGGTATCAGGAAGTACTTTTATTGGCCTCAGAATCACTGCATTTAAGTTGACACATCTGTACACTCCATAAATTGCAGTCAACAACTGTGGTCTGTTGATATTTTGTCTTGTTACCATCTGTTCTCTAGAAACCATAATTTTCCATCCTTGCTAAGAGTACATTAAATAACCCCTTAGGAAACATAATGTATTTGTCACTGAATCATTGATTTCATTTTTCACCTATGGATGTTTGGGGAAGGAGGAATGCCAGAGTGAAAAGTCTTTTTTGCATGGTATTTTATTGCAGCTCAGATAAGAATATAGAAACGTATTTAAAAAGTTCATTGTAATACACCGAGATGTTCCTTTTGGGATGTTTTTGAAAGAGTCTCATAAAAGTTCATTGCTTTTGTGCACTATACTTTTATACTTTGTGGGAAGCTGGTGAATGAAAAGCATTATTATGGAATGATTATAACTCTATTAAAACATGACATTAATTATGACATGGGAAATGGCAGATCAATTAGTTGTAATTGTAATTGCAGGTATGCAATTTCTACTGCAGAATGCTTGAGATAATGGAAAAAGAAAAATGTCAACAGAGTAGAAGCTCTTCCTTATCCGTCCTCACTTCTAGAAGTCACAGTGCATCATACATGTTCAGTCAATCAGACCTTATTTTCTGCCTTGGATTTTCTTATTTTCATGGCTGCCAGTCAGATGTATTTGGTACTTGGTGCTATATCTAGCAACTTTAAGCACAAAGATGCAGCCAAGGACATATAGAGTTTTGCGATTTTGCGTCATTAATGAATATACCCCAGAAGGCTTCCCAAGACCTTTGTTTACTTTTTGCATTCCTGTACAGTTAGCACTTCTAGAATTCAATTCATGTGTTCAGTTATTTAAATAAAAAAGCCAAACTTGAGATGCTTCATCTATTCTGGGCTTTATTTTGAAGCAGGATCTTTGCAGGCTTGATCCTACTTACCTAATGTAGTGTACGTGCAAATATACTAAGATACAACTCTAGCTATGCATGTATCAATTAATATTAAAAGTCTAGTTTTAAAATGACATCTTAAATTGTTGTTAAGTTTAAATCTCATATTCTGTTTTGCCAAATGGAAATAGTTACTCTGGTTGGAAAGGTCTTCTGTGGCCATGTCTTTGACTGGGAACTTTGAAATTTGTCACACAGTGGTGTTGAGACAAGTAGAGGAGGAACTGTAGCTTGCATGTACTTATTGCCATTTGCCAGGAATTTATCTGTTGAAATCTAGATAGATTCAGTCTTTCTTGAACAGGTTAGAGGCATTAGCAGGGCTAGTCTCACAGTTATATTTCAGGGTAGCCTCATGATTAATGCACTTGAATGGACCTTAGAAAATTTAGATTCTGTCCCTGTCACTTCCAAAGTTTTCTTCCAAGATACTAGTCACATCACTTAAAGAATGAACTATCCAGACAGAATTATTAGTCTCCATATCTTGCTTTCTGGGTTGCTCACTCTTCTAATTCCTGAGGCCTCACAAGCAATAAATACCTTGTGTTGGCACATTAGAATGGATGAAGAACTGCACCTTTGTTAAGAGAGATAAGTGGAGGAAGAGAGACACATCAAATGTATATACCTCCTTATTTTGGGTACCCGGTTAGGACTGGATAATTTTTAAAGAACATTGTGTATTACATATGTGCAAAGCTTAGCTCCTAGGGACTTCCTTTGTATTTCTAGGCGAGGAAGTACGAGAACATCAGATTAGGGTCCCTGTGTAAGCACTGCAAAAATGAGAAATGCAAAATACAAAAAATCTGGCAGGAGCGACGTGACTACTTTGGAAAACTTCGTTGGGGTGGAATGGGCTTTGTTGGGGCCTAAAATTGACCATTCAGCTGTATTAATCTTGAAGTCATCTTTTCCTTTCTTGAAATGTTCTGCCTCATTAAGTACACAACTTCCAGCCTCTGTAACAAATGAAACAGGGGGTCCACCTGCAAAGCTGTTTACTGCATGGCTCGCTCTCCCCCAAACAGTTTGACCTGTGCACTCAAGAGACAAGACTGCCGAGGCAAAAGGCTGTATCATAATTCATTTGCAACAAAGGAGTTGTATCAATGTTGCCCAGGAAGTTGTAATTATGACACTTCTTAACCTCCAAATTTTACTCTCATAGGTATAGGATGTTGTTAGCATTCTACCATCCATATTATAAATGTGTATTTACCTAATGACTGGGAACAGAATAAAAAGCAAGAGTTCTTTCAAATACCTGATGAGGTGTTTTTTGAAAAGCAAATCAGTGCAAATTAACGTGGAAGAAGATCCCTAGTAGCACATTCTTCCCTAGAGATCAGCTGACATGTCCTTAAATTTAGGAGTTTGCAGAACAGCATAAGAGAATGTGTTGAATTAAAATTTCAAGGAAAAAAAATTAAATTTATTTCTTGGAAGTATATTTATTTGCAGATGGCTTTTTTTTTTTTCCTTTTTTAAACAACAGTTGGATATTCTATTGTACTTCTTGGAGGTAAAGTTTAGACATTTGGAGATGCTAGTATGAAGGAAAAAAGGAAATCTTAGTTGTCAGTCAGAGCCAGTGCAAGTGTCTTTTTCCAGGATATTCTCTACTGGATTGACCAGTGCAGCATTTTAAATGACACAACTCATGGTGCTTCTACTACTGTCTTTAATTGTATTGGCTAATTTTTGTACAGTGCTTTGAAATTGTAAAGCACTGTGTGAGTGCTAAGTATTATTAGTACAGTTATTCCCCTGGGAGATTATTTCACAGACTAATAGACTTCACAGTTAAGAAATATTTCTTGATCGTAAGCCTAAATTTTCCCTTTGATCAGGTCCATTCCCTTGCTCATAGCTGCACCTCTTTGGCTGATCCTAAACAATTCCTTGGTATTAACGTACCACCTCTAAATCTCTGTAGACAGTTTGCATGTATACTCTTAGTCTGTCTGTGACTCATTGATGAGACCTCGCTTCATAAATCCTCCAGCTGCTTAATCTTTTCCTCAAATTCTCTCTAGGTTTTCTTTTTCTTTCTCCGCCCTTTTTCCCCTTTTTTTTTTTTTTTGGTCAGGCTGCAAATATTTGCAGTATATCTGAACATAGTTTCATAAAATGCTCTGTGAAACAGAACTGACTCCATCCTTTTCCTGGATATGGTGCTTCAGAACGTGCATCTCAAAACTGCATCTCCTTACAGCCTTAAAGAAATTCTTTTACACAGCAGTACAACTGTTCTAAATGAAAATCTGGCTGGCATAAAGGCAGAAGGGGACAAGGGATAGGGGTTTGCTCTTGAGTTCAATAGGTTTGAGAAGTCACCCCTCCTCGTTCTTGGTTTTGCAGTTTTCCTGAGTCTCACTTCTGTGGTTTGAAATATTTCACCCTCTTGTTTCAGGAGCTTGTCTTTGCTCTGTTGCTTGAGTGAATAAGTGTGGATTTTGTTCAGTAGTTAAGCTGCACTGCACTTTGTACTTGCTCTTAAAACACATAAACAC